GAGCTAAACTTCCTCCAAAAGGTAAAGGGTAAACGTTGGAAGAAGAATATTAAATATAGCATAGTAAGAATACTATGAATGATTTTCGTTTCATCTGAATTTTTGTTAGCACAGGGGAGAGCAGGAAAATTATATTAAAGAAGGTGGGGAGTAAGCTCCAGTCCAGACATGATGGCTGAATGGCTTTGTTCTGTGCAGTCTACTTTCTATGATTTTCTGTTCTGGGATGAGTTAGCTGTTCAAGCTTGGAGCAGCACTGAGAGAATTAAAATCAATCTCACTGTGCCATAGCTTGGGTGTGGTGGTGGTGTGGGATCAATCAGGGCATCCAATTACCATCCAATGGCCCCCACTGTAAAGTGTGGAGATCTGGACAGAATGGTTATAAATGTTGTCCCTTGGTTTTGGCTTACAAATGAAGACTGCCCATTTGGGAGGACAAGACAGTGGCTGTGATTTCCAGCATCAGTTTGCTCCTTCATGAAATGAGGTGGGAATTTCTCAATGGAAAAGGAAAGTAAGCCCACCAGTGAGATCCTTGTACATGTGCTTTTAGAGCCTTCAAACATGTACCTGTAGACAACCCAAAAATAAAATATAAGGGTGTTTCGTAGAGTAGTTGTCAGAGCACTCACCTTGCAAACAAGAGGACATGGGTTCGATTCCCCGCAAAATCTTAGGCAAGTTTCTTTACTCCACACGTCTCTGTTTACCTAGCAGTAAATAGTCAATTGATGGATCACTTTCCGGGGGTAATAACCCCTCAAAAAAAATGGAGTCACTCAATCCATGCCTGTTTGTGGGACATTGCTAAGTGCAATTGGCTGCTGCATTTTGTCCACAAAATACACAGTCAATTCACTTTACAATATATATTCTGTGAAGTGCTTTGAGTCATCTCAACGTGATAAGGTGGTATATCAAATACAAGGATTATTATTATAAATTTACATTGATGAAGCACCTGAGCTGGAGGTTGGGAGTCGGGGGAAGGTGGGGGTGGTGGGGGGTGGGGGGGTGGAGGAGGGGAAAGATGACTGAAAATTAAAATTAATTATAATTAAAATTGATGCCTAAAAATTAAGATGAAAATATTTTATAGCGGAGCATAATTGGGCCTGAATATATTGCTGGTGATTTGGAAACCTCACCATTGTTCTCTGGCTTACATTAAATACTGAGCAGCTAATCATAGTAACATGGGAAGAGGAGGAGGCCAGTCAGTCCATTGAGTCTTTTCCACCAGTTTATTAGATCTTGGTAGATCATTTAATCCCAATGCACCCCCTACCCCCCAAACCATACCCCTTGATATCTCTACTACCTCCCCGGACCTGGGTGGCCAGGCAATGTTGTTAAGCACTTTGGGACGTCCTCCCAATGTAAAAGGCATTATATAAATGCGTATTGTGTTGCAAACAACTTTCTGTCCATCTATCTTTAAACATTCCTATGGATTCCACCTTCTTCCACATGTACAGAAACCTTGGGAGAAGGACCTTATTTATTTTCTTTAAGAAATCCCTGTAACTCATTATAAAGCAGAGAAATAATTGCTATTATTAGTGACCTTGTTTGCTTTTAGAATGTTTAGTGGATCTTATGTTTCTTCCGCAGATCTTGTGTGTTTCGTCCGCTGTTTGTCCTCAAGTGATGACCACATAGACTCCCCACTTTGGTCTTTATGCGTTTTTGACTCTCAGACTTCGCCAGTGGCAAACGTACAGTTAAAGACGTTGCTGATAGTTTGGTGTTGGTGGCAGGATCATCAAGAAGAAATGGTCTCACATTCCAGTCTTCTCGCCTCAGAGCCTGAAGGTTGTGGGTTCAAGCCCCAGTCAGAATGTGGAACTCATTTGGTCTAGGCTGGCACTCGAATGCAGTGCTGGGGGTATGCTGCAATGTCGGAGGTGCTGTCCTTCAGATGAACTGAGGTCACACCTACCTTTCCAAGTGGATATTAAAGATCCCATGGCATTATTTCAAAAGAGAAGGGAGTTTCTCCTGGTGTCCTGGCCAAAAATCTCCCAAATAAAATGTATCACTCACTCCATGGTTGTTTGTGGGGCATTGCTGTGCATGCAATGGCTGCTGCGTTCACCCACAACATACACAATATCAAGCCATTTTACAGTATATCCTGTGAAGCGCTTTGACGTGTCTCAATGACGTGATAAGGCACTATATCAAATGCAAGGATTATTATATTTCTCTATTCTATTTAACAGGATTGACTGAAGGTCGGCACAGTGTCCATACACATACACACATGTTGGAGGTGCAAACATGCTACAGCAGTAGAGGAGATGACACCTATCATGCCTGCATTGATCTCAGACATACATTGGAAAGTGAACTGTGGAGAGCTTCTCCCATCTTGTAGCCACAAGTCTCAAAGAGCAGCGCTACTTCCTTTCTGGTCAGTTTTGACCACTGGTCTGGGGAGATGTAGAGAACGGATCAGGAAGATTGTATTTTTAAATGTTACGAACGTTGAAGACCTTTTGTATTGTCTGGTTATTGTTTTGTTCAGTGGCAGCTTTAAACTTGTATGAATGGAAAACAAAGGGTTAATGCACTCCTACATTATCCATATTGAGCTTCCATTCCTATGTGGTTTTGTAGCCGGTGAGTCAGGGCAGGTGGGGATTTCATCTAGTGTGAAAGAACCACTCTAGCATGTCTTAATGATTTTACAATCCAGTGCTATCCTTCTCTCCTCTCATCAATCATGTCTCAGACATGAGTTGGAGCAGGTTTTATTATTACTGGAGGCCAGCTTGGCTTTACAAGTATCTCCCACATTAGGATGTTGCCAGTCAGGAAAAACTGAACTGAGGTTTTTATTTTTGCTCGAGAGCTACCGATACAAAATGGAAGATGCTATACTGAAGCTTAGATCACTCTGATCTTATAGACACAAATAGGGGCCATGTTCCATACAAAGGCTGCTTGACATCCTTCCTCAGTGCCACTGAATGAAGCATAGCTTGGTATTGTCTATGTTACAGGGAATATTGGGAAAACCAAGCAGAACTCAAGCAACCATGGAGACTGGGTCCAATTTACCCTGAAATCTGAGGGAATTTCTATCTTGTAAAGTGAAGTTTGGCGGGAATGAGCACACAGGAAACTGTGAGAGTAAGGATCAACTGAGGCTTATGAGTTTTCTATAACATTGAGATCTAAATTGTGAGATATGTAATAGGATCACATTGAGACTGAGCTCACAGTGTATGCTGACACTCCAGTGCAGTGCTAGGTGGAGTGCTGCATTGTTGGATGCGCCATCCTTCAGAGGTAAGGTTAAAATGAAGTCCCACCTGACTGTTCAGGTGGCCATTAAAGATCCCAGGACACTGTTTGAAAAGAGAACAGAGGTTCCGTCCTGTGAAAAAATACTAGATAAAATTGGTGATTGATTTGTGGGACATTGCTGTGCACAATTTAGCTGCACTGGGCAACACAACGGCTAATTTGCAACAGCTAATTAGTGGAGTCCTGTAGTGGAGCTCAGTGGTTAGAGCACTCGCCTTGCAAGCGAGAGATCTGGGTTCGATTCCCGGCAGAGTGAAACCTTAACAAGTTTCCTTACTCCACACCCCTGATAATAATCCCTCAAGAAAAACAACAAAAAATTGGTCACTTCAATCCACGACTATCTGTGGGACACTGCTGTGCGCAACTGGCTGCCGTGCTTCACCCACATATATACAGTCAATTCACTTTACAGTATATTCTGTGAAGCGCTTTAAGATGTCTAGAAGATGTGAAAAGCGCTACATCAAATGCAATGATTATTATTATTATAATTTGCAGCGTTCCACCCAGCACTGCACTGGAGTGTCAGCATACACTATGAGCTCAGCTTAATCCCTGTGAAGTGCTGTAACTGCTTGGATGTTTCCGTGTCCAGGAATCTTTAATGGCCACCTTAACATTAAGTCATTTTAACTTCATTTTAACATTGCATCTGCGGCACTCTACCCAGCATTGCCCTGCAGTGTGAGCAAACGCTGCGAGCTCAGCTCAATTCCTTGGGAAGTGCTGTAAGGTCTTGGATGTTTCAACTTTGCAGGAATTATGTGAAACGTGAGGATTATTATTATTAAGGATTAACAAACAGCTAATATTGCACGCATCCAGATGTGACATTTTGCAACTTTATTCATTTGCCAATCTCTGTTTCAATTTCCAGATTAAGGCAGGGGCACACAGCAGGAGATCTGTACCTGAGCGTAGATCCAGATTTGCAAAACCCTTTGCAAATCATGCAATTTAGCGCATGCAGCAGAGCCTTCTGAGCCACACAAACCCAGCAACACTCAGCTTCAATCAGACAAGATGAATTCAGAGTCAATACGGAACCAAGCCAGAGTAAAACTACAATTAAGGAATAGCAGCATTGTTTCCGAATGGCCTTGGGACAGAGTACGCAAACTATAATCGATTCCAGCACTACGCGCCCCCCTAAAAGCTGTTTGAACTCATTCATAATGTTGTTTTTAAGATAACATTTCAAATACTCGTGTATCATCACAGATACAGATTATCAGGGTTTCATTTCTTCTTAATGACTGTTAGACAGAATAGTTTCCCAGTGAAATAATCGGAGCTTTAACAAAGAAACTGCAGTCTAGTGTGATTTTTTTTTACACTGAAAATGTGAATTTGCCACATGCTAACACTGAAGGGCTGGCCGCTGGCCAGAGCCTTTATGGGTTGTTAAGTGCATATTTACTGACCTGAAAATACTCTGTTTTATGATATTCTGTGAATTATTGCACGTTGACTGGTTTTATGAAAACAATGTATTAATGGTGAAAAATTACAAGAAGTGAGAAGCAATGATGATCTGTCTCAATATGGTTTGGGGATGTTTCCCTGGTCTAAACACACTTCTGCACATGAACCCTCCCCTCCTCCCCCTATCACGACCCACCGAGAGCCATAGATGCACGGGTCAAGAGATGTTTGTGCTTAAATCTAGTACAAGAATGTTAAAGCATAAATCTAAGCATTTTATTATACACTTCATGAACAGACTGCACCCTCTAGCTATGTACAGTTCATATATGGTGAGCTTGCATTTTAAAAGCGTGACAAAAATAATCAGCCTTGTGACCTGAAAAGGAGACAAATGATCCTGCAGCACTCGACAACAATGCAATGTGCACAGAAACGTGCAGCAACATTGCAACTCACGCATGACACGGTGACTTGATGGTCCTGCCGTTCCATTGGGGTACTCCTGTGAACTGACTGCAAACTGTTCAGGGCAACTGAAGGCTATTAATAATGGGATGATGGGAAAACTGGGAATTACCTGTTAACATATACCAGTGGTGTTTACTGAATGCTTTAGTTACGCAAAGGAAGCAACAGAGACCAAATCTATTATTCATCCAGATAACATGACGTACGCTTAGCTGTTAGGCTACAACATGAAACAAATTGTTTGAACTCACAGAACACTGTTTGAGCCTTTTTTTGATCATTTATTTTCCTATCATTAATCCAAAATGAAAACTAGGGTTTGATGGCTAAGATGCTCGTTCAATTCTGAAATTACTTCAGTGTAAACAAATAAATAAATTATTTACAATCCTTGGCTTCCCACAAACATTTTAGGAAAGAAAGAAAAACATAAATAAATTAAATAGGAAAAAATATACAGTCTAAATATTCACATCTTTTCCCCTCAACAAGTGTGTTGTTCTTTGAAAGATGTCCACATTCCTTGACGACTTGCATCTATTTGGAGCTCGCCCCGTTCAGCCGGGGATACAGGAAGGTCACAGGAATGAGTCTGCGGCTTCTCAAGTCAGAAAGAACTTCTTAAAACGTAACTAACACTGAAAGACTCTATAATGTGCATAAAAGCCAAAACAAGGTGTTTTCAAATGATATACTATAGAATATATATTCAGATTAAGCTGATACATTTTTTTTAGTTTCTTTGCCCCTTTACCAGTCCCAGCTTTTACCCAGTTAGTTGTCCCCAGCTGAGAAAAAGCAACCAGTACGTTGTCTGAGAGATTAACCACATGGTACATAAGAGAGTTTCTATTAGATTTGCATGGCGTAACTGTAGTAAATGTGCTATCTGGTATCCCACTAGCAAGGAAGCTTCTATTTACAGTGAAATGTAATAGAAAAAGTTATAAACAAAGTGGTTTTTAAACAGGGTTTGTAATTCATTGTGTTTCTCAGAAAATTAGATTTGTGTTAACATCAATAGTCAATTCAAAACAGTCTGATATTGAGTGTCCTTGAAAACATTCTGATAAGAATAGCAATGGCAGAATTATATCATAGTATGATCCTTTTGTTAAATGACGACTAATCCCTTTATCTGGATATAGTCGCAAGAGAAGACTTCCTGAGGTTCTCGATCAGCTCCCGCTGTGACCTTGGGCTGCTTCTCACATCTATCAGCGTTACAGTCCAGAGACAGCAGGAACTTGTGCATAGGACAAACCAAACCTCCACAGTCAGCTGAGGGCCCAGAGACTGGCCTCAGGAGAAAAGCAGGAAAGAGGGTGGACAGGGCCTGGGACTACCAGTCATACTCAGGTGACAAGCTGCACAGCAATGTACAGGGTTCTCAACTTCTGCTGCCACCCAGTGCTCAGTTGTCTGGAAAAAAACATCAGGCAGGGTTACTTCTGAAATCCTCTCCTGTAGGAACAAGCCTTTCTTCCAATTCATTTACCCTCAAAACATACAGTCACTACTCTTTACAGTAAATCCAGTCAAAGAGCTTTGAGACATCCTCCTGACATGAAAAATTCTGTATCAATTGCAAGGATTATTATTATTAATACTATTATTATTGTAAACACATCTTTTGTTTATGAAATAGCAGTTCCTTTTGCAAACGTGTCCATTGCACTTCCTGGAAGTGGGAGGGAGGAGGCGTGGGGTGGAACTGCATGTAATATTATTAAATGCGGCATATGATTTTATTACATCAATCAAACAATGCTACCACTGGTTATCCCTGGCTTTGGGGTGAAGCACCCCACACCTGGGATAGTGAGAACTGCAGTGGAAACTCAGTACAATGATGGTTCCCTTAGAGCCAATTATTATTATGGTGATAATTGAGGTGTGGTCCCCAATATTTCCCTACCACAAAATATGCACAGAAAGCTGCCCGCATGTTTCAAATTGCATTACCTGAGGGGAGAAGGAAGGGATTTTAGGAACTCCGTAATACTGTGGTGTTATCTTACTGTATCAACTGATTTGTACCGCATTTTGCAGTTGATGCGACAATTATCACTGGTGATAATATCACATGCCACATTCCTTACCCCCACCCACCCCCAGCACACCAGTTTGCTGTTTAACAGCTGTTTAACCTATCATTCAAACACAACCATCTGAACGGATAAAATCTACTTTCTTTCCACTGAGCACAGAAATGTGGTTTCTATTTTGGTTTTAATTTGCTGAGCAAGGGAGTGGGGCAGTGAGGAGGAATGGAGGCCAGGTTTGAATCATAAAGACGTGGGAGTGGATGGATATTCTGGAGACTTTACTTCTACTTCAAAAACTTTTGGGCTCAGGAAATATAAGCGAACCATAGAAACCAGAGAGGACATTTGGCCCTGTGGCTCACTGAAAGGCATACCTTCAACCATTCTGCCCCATGCTCTCTAGTTATTTAATCTTATTCTCCTGCCTTTCTAGTTTCCCCCCCTTACCCCCATCCCATATACTTTTATATTTCTGCATTTTAGACATTTATCTAATTCTCTCTTTAAGGAACCTTCTCAAACTCTACTGACCCAGCCTCCCCCTTCACTCAGCAGCACCAGCCAGCTTCATGTCCCCACCCTATCTACCCCATCTTCTATGAGTGGGCTTTCAGCCTTTTTGTCCCCATTCTCTGGAGCTCCATTCAACTCGCTCCTTCCCTCACATCTAATGTCGGTTTCATCTTTCCCCTCCCCACCCCACTTGGCTCCCAACCAGGCTCAAACGCCCAGAGAGTGCTTTGGGTCATCAAACCGATGCGAAAGGTGCTGTATAAATGTAAATTTTTATTGTACAATACTTTCACAGGAGTCTACAAATATGCTGCTTGAAAAGTAATTGCTATAGACCTGAGAATGGATGGGGTGATGTCTGTGACAGAATAGGTTTGAATGGATGTGAAATCAGTGGCTTGGATGAAATTGTCTGATCTGAACTTGCTCTAAAAAGGGTAACAACATCTTCTTCGCTTTATTTACCTCAGTTACTCTTTGTAGATCTGTCAAAACTATCATACTACAGCACTCAAGCAAACAGTATCCGCGATGTAAGGCAAGCACTACATACGCAAATGAGCAACTGGCTGCCGTGTGGAAGGATGGCTACAGTAAAGGATTTCCAGTGAAACAATACACTGACAGAGTGAAGTCTGAATCATCGGAGTTCCCAGATTGTGTTACTGGCTGAACGCAGTCCCAGTCAAGTGTGATTTAACAAACTTGTACCAGAAATTCAATCACTTAGGGACTTAATCACTCGTTAAACAGCTCCTACTCCCTCTGCCAAGTTTTCCAATAAGGAGCACATCACTTGAGACACAGGGACAATGTGCCAAACACTGTGGTGAGTCTCCTCTCTGACGTTGGGTATGTTATGGCTCCGTAGCCTCTCCCCACCCTATCTCTGCAGCCTCCTGAGTCGCCATTGTCCCGGCCACGCTCTCCAGACAGCAAACATCGGCCTGCTTCACGTGCCTCAACCACTCCACCCCACCATCAGTGGCCAAGCTTTTGGCCATTCTGCCCCACTTTGAAACTCAATCCAGCAGTCCATCAGCCTCGTCCCTTCCTCTTTACTTTCAAAACCCATTTTAAGACCCTATCTTGGATTGTGCTTTTGGACACCTTCCTTTTCCTCTCCCCCAGCTCTTCCCCCATGCACCCCTCCCACCCACTCCCTCCCCACATAGCTCCGGATCCAAGTCAGTTGTGCGAAGCGCTTTAAGACCTCCTCCAGACTTACCTCGACACTCATATTTCAGGTCAGAGAAGTAAACAGCTTCTTGGGAGAAGACAAAGAGCCCTAGTCGTCCACCAGCTAATGTCTTATCGTAGATAGGACCCGAGTCAGACATAATTTGTTTACCTTCATACACTACGACCCTGTGCAAACAGAACAACACTGATGTTTCTGCCATTTATTAACATTATATACATACTATATGATATCTGCAGCTATTGCTCACTCAGAAACATATAAGACTTACTTCAGTGTGCTGTTGATGTATAGAGACCCATAGTGCTAAAGCATGTTCACATATTTCTGTGTGTAACAAGCACCTTTGAAAATAAACTTATGAATTTGCATTTTTAGAGCCCCATTATGTCGAAGCAATATTCATGGGAATCACACACACCAGCATTTGCACTGAAGGATTGCTCTCCTATCAAAGGCACAGTTGTCACTGTTATTCACTTTACACCAGTCACCTCGCATGTTGCATCACTCAGGTTTTCTCCCTTCCACTTCCACTCAGAGTCTTTCAACTTTACACAAGATTGAATTCACTTGGGTTGATTCTCACTCTACATCACAGCTCAGTCTTGACATCCAGAGTGGCACACAGCTATAGAGGTGTTTTAGAATGCTGAAATGAGTTTCCATATCAAGGCTTCAATCACCCTAAAGCTTGGGCTCTGCATTAACCAATATCTAGGTGAGTTTCATAAAGCACCTCCTGTTGATTCTTGTACACTGGGGATCACTAATATTCTATTGATATTACTGGGATCCCTTCAAATGACTTCCAGTGTAATGTAATCCAGTGTGATTCCATATAAACAATGTTTATATTTCCTGCTCTGAAAGGGACTGGGAGAACCATCACACACTGCTTAGATGTTAAATATCGCCTTGGACTTTCCTCCTGATTTGAAAGGTGCTGTATAAATATAAATTTTGTATTGCATTATATATAATAATCGGTGCCATTCACCTGCAAAATACACAATCCCTATACTCTACAGTAAATCTGTGAAACTCTCACTTGGTAATTGATATGGAAGAGCTTTGAGATGTTTCACAAGTGTAACAGGGTTTTCTACAACTCTTAAAATTATTTACAAAAAGCTTCAAAATGAAGGCTGTATTTAAGAGAATTGCACTTCCACTGTATTTAAGAATTGGGCAGTTCTATTCTGTGTTGGGGGGGTGGGAGGGTCATTAGTTTCATTCCTACGTTGCTTGTGATGAAACCGCTGAGCTGTTTATGGGAAGGAATGCTAGCAACTATGCTGGATATTTGAGAATTTGTTTCAGTAACTGACTGCTACACGCCATCTCTCTGAGGTTTTAACAAACTCATGTTACAGTGTTACAGTATATGTTCCCGTGGTATTTACCTAATAAAACCTGTTTTGGGCCGATGAATCAGGTGCCACCTGTAAGCACTGTAGTCCTTCCATCCAATGTTCTTAGGGTCATGCCACAGGGTGCGAACCTGGAACAGAAGCACAGCAGGTCTGGTGACAAAAACATCATGCAAAAAAAAAAAAACCTTCAGTGATATAGACTTCCATAAAGTTACAGGTGCAAGCAGACGACCCTGACTTACTGACCCTAACCGTGGTTTAGGTGGAACTTTCACACCAATGTCACTGCACATTGTACAGAAGTACGCCAATTCATTCTAGCAAACAGCATCCTTTTCTTCTTGTCATCTGACAAGATTTATTCTCAGTTTTGCCTCATAATTTTAAAACCCATTGTCTGTCATATGATGCAAAATAAAACTTAGCAGCCATAAGGTCAGAGGGAAGAAAAATTAGCATGGTGTTAACTTAAGACTCAAAGTCCAGTGAGTGAATTTACTCAGGAAAGTGACCCAAAATGAAAAGAAACACAGAATAGTCTTATATCCAGGCACTGAATACAAGAGTAAGGAGGTAATGTTAAATTTGTTTAAGATATAGGGTTTGGCTGTAGCTGGAATGTTTTGTCCATTTCTGGGCAATTCATTACTGAGAGGGCAACACAGCCATGGTGTAGAGAGGGCACTGGGATGATAGTTATGTGGAAAGACTTAAAAAATTGGAACTGTCTATACAGGAACAGTGAAGGTGAAACAGCAATGACATAGAGATTTTCAAAATCATAGCAGGTTTTGATATGGGGAGGAGGTGTTGTGGCCTTGTGCCCCATTCTCACCAGTGTGCTATGCTCTTGAATAATATAAGTGCCAATTGCATTTGCTTCTCAAATACAAGGTTTGCAGCCAGTGAACTCTTTCTTCTTATGAAAAATAATTATTAAAATAATAATGCTTATTATTAAAAATAACAATATATTTGCCCTCAGTAAAACAATGGATTGCAAAAAAGTCCCAAATAGTTATCAGCGAAAAAGCAAATCCCTCGGTCATTATCGGTCCTGGATAAGTCACATTTTTCCTATTAACAGACATATATTAGCTGCAGGACGCAATTGCCTCTGGCTTCTAAATCATTTTTTTCCCCCACTGCAGCTAAAGCCACGGTAAAGCTGCTGTCTTCTGGGGTTAGCACGCACAGGCGTGTCTCTCTTCCAGTTCACTATGTCAAAAATTCTTTTGTAGAGTGTAGCCCCTTTAGGCAGCCTTTTGCCTGAACCAGCTGGTTTTGTTTTTCTCACAAATTTTTCAGCCAACTCCAACACTTGAGGCAGTGCATGCGTTTTGAGAGTGATTCCAATTGTGCTGAAATGCAGCCTGTTCACACTGCAGGCAGGTAGAGTCACCAGCCAGACTTCAATATCATACCATCCTAAACACAGCCAAAGGAAGGAGCATTGTGGAGTCCTGTAGCTCAGTGGTTAGAGCACTCGCTTTGCAAGTGAGAGACCTGAGTTCAATTCCAGGCAGGGCGAAACCTTGGGCAAGTTTCCTTACTCCACACAGAGCCTAATAATAATCCCTCCAAAACCAAAAACAATAATTAAATTGGTCATTTTCAATCTACGACTGTTTGTGGGACATTGCTGTGCGCAATTGGCTGCCGCGTTCGCCCACAAATATACAGTCAATTCACTTTACAGTGTATTCTGTGAAGCGCTTTGGGACGTCCTCCTGACGTGAAAAGCGCTATATCAAATGCAAGGATTATTATTATTATTATTATTATTATTATTTCCTTTATCTTCGCAGTAACCTGCCTAAACAGTAACACGACCTTGCAGCTGCACAGGGGAGGAATGAAGAGAAATCGAGCTCTCGGAGATCACACTATGAAAGGCAGGTAACTCAACAACAACAACAACAACAAGCATTTATGTAGCGCCCCTCATACAGGGTGGCGTCCCAGAACGTTTGACAGTGACGGGGCACAACGCCGTGCCTGGGGGAGGGGGTGCGTGACTGTAGGCATGTTCGAACAGGAAAGTCTCATTGCGATTTTGAGGGCTGCAATATCTTACTTGTCCTGGAGTGTCTCCAGTGTGCCACAGTGCATTCCTCAGGTGTTTTCCCCGCCCCGTGGTCGAGTTAGCCACTTTGAGAGAAACACCTGCGTAACCATGGGCTTTTGATGGCTTCTCCTCCCAGTACGTCTGGGTAACCTGCTTCCACATGACCACGTAGAAACGACTGCTGGACTGGTAGCCAAACACAAAGCCGGCATAGTCATCATCGCGATCCGTGTTCACGTAGAAAGTGCCGCTGAAGTCTATGGCGTTGAACTCATCAAAACCTACAGATCAGCAAAAGAGAAGTTCCCTCAGGTCAACTGTAACTTGGCTGCAAAACAGATTGTTTGAGAAAGGCTTTCTGTATCAGGTTCAAAAGGATGGATGATGGATGGTTTAAAACTTAATATAGTTCAGGAATTTAAGAAAAAAAAGAGCACCATGGTAAAATTGAACACAGTGTCTTTAGATGAAAACTAACAAAGGCGTCTGATCTATTTCATTCAGATTAGGAGGTTGTGAGAAGGAGAAACCAAATGCTGTGTCATTAGTACTTACCAACAGCCAGGCCTGGATCAGAGTTAGCAGTTTGCAACAGCTCCCTGCCCTGATTTCGCACCACCCAATTGGGATCAATCTGCGTTGTTCCCTTTGGATCCAAGTGGACCATCTGGAATTTCCTGAAATCTGTCTCGCTGATAGCATTGTTCTCGGGACACACGTCATAGATATCAGGGATACTGTCATTGTCAAAGTCATCCTTGCAAGCGTCTCCTCTACCATCACCTGTCAAGTACATTTAGATTTGTCATTACTTTCTCTTTCAGCAAATAAAAACAATAGAGCTATTGAGGTATACAATACTAAACCTAAATAATCTTTACATTTGACATAGCACTTTTCATGTCAGGAGGATTTCCCAAAGTCCTTCACTGGATTTAATGTAAACTGTAGTGACTGTAACTTCTTGAAGGCAAATGCAGCAGCCAATTTGCACACATCATGTCCACCAACAGCCATAGAGTGAGTGACTAATTCTATTTGGAGGATTGTTGGCCTGGACACCAGGAGAAACTCCCTTTTTTTTTTAATAATGCCATGGAATCTTTGAAGTCCACCTGAACAGGCAGATGGGAGCCTCATTTAACGTCTCATCTGAAGGACGGCATCCCCCACAATTCAGCGCACCCCTAGCACTGAAGTGTCAGCCTTGACTGTTAGCTCAAAAACCATTGCCTATTTGCCCATCCTCAGCAAAATACAAATAGGGGAGAATAGCAACAACAACTTTCATTTATATAGCACCCTTCAAGGGAGGTGGCATCCTGGAGCACTTCCCAGAGAAGTTGCAACGTGTGATAATTACTGGTGATAATTAACACATCACAGAACTTGTTGCCATTATTTATCAAATGGTGTGACCTCGATTCCCCCCAAAAAAACTGTGACATTGGTTGGGCCTGAAGCCAGTCCACAACCAGTTGTGACGAAAGGTCATAGACCTGAAACGTTAACTCATTTTTCTCTCTCCGTGGATGCTGCCTGACCTGCTGCATGTTCCCAGCGACTTCTGTGTTTATACCACAACCAGTAATGTACTTGCCAGACACAGTAAAGCAGCATTGGTAGTGACAGTTAGCGGGATATCAAATTCACTCAACAACAATAACAACAATAATAACTTGCATTTCAATAGCGCCTTTCACATGGCATCTTGTAGCACTGAACAATGGCATAGTTTGATGCTGAGCCAGGGAGAAAGAAGAAGTAAGAGGGTGGAGACTCATAATGGGGTATAAACGGTGACACAGACTAGTAGACACAAATGGCTTGTTTCTCTATGTAACTCTACACCAAAAGTTATCCATTATAATCCCAATTCCGTCTTTCCTTTTATATTGTTTTTCTTTGTATAAATATCCAATATCCTTTTAAATGTAATGGTTTGAGCTTCAAAAGCGACTTGTGGCAAAGCAATCCATGTTTTAATAGCTCTGTGTAAAAACATTTCTTCCAAACTCCCCTTTTGCCTTATCCAGTGGCAATCTTGAGCTTGTGCCACCCTTGCTACCAATTCACCAATAATTGTTCCTAAGATTTGAGTACTTTAGACATGGCCTCACCATCAGAGTCCAGCTGGTCAGGGTTTGGCACAAGGCGGCAGTTATCCTTATCATCAAGGATACCATCATTGTCATCATCAGGGTCACAAGCATCTCCTTTTCCATCCTTATCATGATCGGCCTGGTTTGAATTGGCGATGTATGGGCAGTTGTCCAGGTTATTCTGGTGACCGTCCTCATCAATGTCCTGGTTGTTGTCACACTGATCACCCACCAGGTCAGAGTCAAAGTCTGTCTGCAGAACAGGACAAGATATAACACAGGTCAATCATTATTAATAATAGTAATAATAATAATAATCCTTGGATTTGATTTAGCGGCTTATCACGTCTTCGAGATGTCTCAAAGCGGTTCACTGAATATACTGTAAAGTGAATTGACTTTATATTTTGTGGGCGAAACGTGACAGCCAATTGTGCACAGCAGTGTTCCATAAACAGTTGTAGATTGAAGTGACCAATTTATGATTTTTTTTTGAAGGAATTATTAACCCCGGAAAAGCGATCTGCCAATCGATTAACAATCGGGTTCCTACTTACTGCTAGGTAAACGGAGGTGTGTGGAGTAAGGAAACCCAACATTTCGCCCTGCCGGGAATTAAACCCAGGTCTCCCGCTTGTGAGGTGAGTGTTCGCACCATTGAGCTACAATTTATGAAGTGATTTATCACACTTTAAAATCCTGGATAAATGTGAGGGTCTGAAATGCTACTAAGTCAATAAGACCTTTTTGTTCATTTGTTTTGGTCAACTGGATGTCTGACTGGGTGCAGATACCTATCGCCATGCTTAAGAGTCTCCAAAACAGACTGCTTGGAACTCTAAGTCTGGTTTGGATACTCTTAATTTACCTGCGTTGCTGAGGGGTTTCCCTATGTGTCAGATACCCGATTGACCCCCAAAAAATCAGTTTGACTTAAATGTCAAGATCATACACAGTTATAATAATCTTGGTATTTGATTTAGCACCTTATCAAAACACAGAGACATCTCAAAGTGCTTCACAGGAATTACTATAAAGTGTACCGACTGTGTATTTGTAGGCAACAAATTGTGTGCCCAGCAATGTCCCACATGAAGTGAATGATGAATTGTAGAAAATTCATAAATTATGTCTTAATTTGAAAAATGGTTCTTTTTATAATTGTGGAAAACCAGCTGCAAGACTGAAATTGAAGATTTTAAACGTTAAAATTAAGAAAAGGGAGATTCTCCCAGTGTCCTGACCATTATTACCCCAGATAAAATTGATCATTCACTTCATGGCTGTCTGTGGGATATTGCTGGTGCAAATTAGGTGTCGCGTTTGCCAACAAAATCATTGTTAACCATATCTTGTTTGCTCCATTGCTACAGGATTAACAACAGAGTCTCATTGCTCCTTACCTGGTCAGGGTTATGCACAAGTGGGCAGTTGTCACACATATCTCCAACGCCATCCTGATCAGTGTCCCGCTGGTCAACGTTGTAAACGTAGGGACAGTTATCACTCTCATTGGGAATATCTGTTAACATAAGAGATCATTAGAAATCCTGACAATGATAGTACAAAACAGAAACATGTTACAAATGAATCAACTTCAGCTCCCAATGGGGTTGATGAAGCATCTGAATGATAAAACCTCCCTGTTCCTGGCATCTTAGGCCGAGAAACACATCTCACAAGGGAAATTGTGCTTTTTCAACCTAAGGAACCCTTGTACGGCACCCTCATTTCACAAGCTCTCGGCTTTGACCCAAGACCACCTTGGAGCTGAGGTGCTCTGAGTTGGAGCAATGTTTTGAACATAGATAATCTGTACTGTGCATGGTCACTGTCTCTGTCATTTTCACCCCCTAGAGTGCGCTGATCATGGCTGAAGCTCCATTGTAAAGATGGGGAAGCTCAGGCCACACTTGACAACAAAGAGTTTATTTGTGTGTACTCAATCAGTTCTTTACAATGGGCTGAGCAGGTGGGGAAAGAAGGCAGTATTTGAGTACTCCCCTATTATAAAGAATGCTCAAACCCTGCCCCAGTCCTCCTTATAGAGTCGTGCAGTTATCCTATTTTCAGTTGCACAAAAATGCCATTCTTTGCAATTGGAGACAACAAATGGAGCAGTGAGTGACATTTTTGGCCACAACCACTGTACAAAGTCGAGGTGGGGAGGTCTTTAGCACAATGGTGAGATTCTAAATTACACTCACCATCACCGTCAATATCAATCGAGCAGGCATCACCCTCACCATCACCATCAGTGTCAATCTGGACTGGGTTGTGGTCATAGGGACAATTATCGCAGCGATCGCCTACCTCGTCCTTGTCATAATCAAACTGATGTGGATTGAACAGCAAAGGGCAATTGTCCTGAAAGAAAAAGCACCCTATTTGATCCTCGGTGGCTCAAACACTTCAGTGGAAGTTTGCAGTCAATGTTAAAACACATTACAGTTCAAAGGATGAGGGATAGTTCCTATACTTACTCTCTCATCATTTCTGCCATCATTGTCATCGTCTTTATCACAAGCATCACCCTCTCCATCCTTGTCAAAGTCCTCTTGTCCAGAGTTGGGCAGAAGAGGGCAGTTATCCTGGCAAAGAATACGTTACTTAGATTAGAACTATGAGATTTCGGATGAATCTGCCTTATGAAGTGAACTTGCACATCGCAGAGGAAATTTGTTTGTAACGTACAACATATGAATACCCTTCAGCAATCTGAAACCACGATTCTTGGATGCATTGACTTTATGTTGTTCCATATTTTCTGTTAACTGCAGATTTTACACGAGGTCATAAGGATATACAGGAACGGAACAGATCACTTTGGTCCATCTGGCTGGTCCTTATTTATTATAATATTCCCTTTGATAATATTCTCCTCTTTCTTTCTCTCCTGAAGATGGAATGGAACTGATTTTATGGCACAAATTATTTATTAGCAAAATATTCTGCAGATTGTTTCCCTTTCAATATCAGTGTCTATTAGAGCAGTATTCCGGTTTGTGAATGCTGCAGTTTCAACCCCAGTATCGTATCAGTATCTACAGAATTGAAATTCCACCTTAGTCTCAGTCTGTCAAGTCAGTTTGTAACATGGAGCAGAATTGTGGAAACTAAATTCTTAATTGTGACTTAATTTGGAATACGGTTTTCTATAGTTCTTAAAAAGATCGCGGCTGTGAAATTAGGAATTTGGACACAATTCTTTGCAACCTAACCTCACTTTTTTTTCAACCAGTTCCATTAAAGTCAACAAAACAGTTAACAAAAACTGCCATATATGATTTTAATGTAACATTTCTGTACCATCACTCTTCACAACTGCAGGGAACTGGGTGCTGAATAAGTGCTGAAGTTCCACCTACTTTTAGCTTGTTTTTGTGCATAATCGCTAAATTCAGTCTTAATTTGAAATTGGGGTCTTTTTTAGGACCTACAGAAAAATGGTTCCAAATTAATTTGCAAACTGGAACTCTGCACCAACAGCCACTTCTAGTCTGTCACCAGAATTGTGAGATTTGCGACTGTATTCTCTGAAAAAATTCTAAAATAACAATTGTAGTCCATTTTGCTTTCGGACCTTTGGTGCGAATATTTGGCCCTTTTTGAAGCTGAGATTAGGTCTGAAGATATCCCAATCCCGGCTGCAATCCCAAACCAGTTCCAAGTGCAGCAATTTGGAATTTTCTTTCAACACTTTCAACATTATCTTCTCGGACCATAAAAGTTTATCTCAACCATGAACACTTACAGCACAGAGGGAGGCCATTCAGCCCATCATGATGTACTGGTTCTCTGCAACAGCTAATCTTTTGTTCCCATTCCCTTGTCCTTTCCCCATAACCCCACTGGAGAAAGCATGCATCTCCTCACAGAGCCGTGGCCCTCTGTCATATATCAGAATCGCAACTCTGAAAAGCAGCATAGATATCATTCATGAATGCGTTCCCATTCTTAAATGTGTCAGACAGTAGTGGTATATCACTGCTCCAGCAACAAAGCTCTTTATTGTTAACCTTTCAAACTCTCGATTTAAGGGCTTTCTCTATCATTTGTAAACCAATTGAATTCCAAATCCCTTCTTTTTGGCTACCAGGACACTCATTGGGCTGCATTATTTCAAAGTTCAAAGCATAAAGTGAAATTCTGAAGACATAGTAACAAGCTCTTGAAATGTCTTAACACTACACAGTGACAAGTCATCACAATGAAAGGCACTGGGAAGGTTTAAGTTAGCAGGATAGGACAGAATTGATGAAACATTAAATATTTTCCAAGTATAACTAATGTCTATGCCACTTGGCATCTGATAAAACTGAATTATGAGAACTATGTGGCTATTAGATTGAAAGAATCTGTTAGAATAGATTAAAAAAAAACTTCTCCTAGCTGCACAATTTAGCTCTTACGATACAGGCTCTGTGTATAGAGTTACTGCCTGCGGCAAGATTTGGAAGCTGCTTGTGAGAAACTCCAGCTATGTGGCTGAGGTCATGCATTTTCGTACAGATGCATGTTCATATCTTTCCCCTTCTAAATGCCAAAGTTATTATCAATGATTTCATTCCAAATTTTTAAAGGCTCAAACAAAGTGCATGCTTTTTTTTCAACACAATAAAAAGAATGGTCAAATGATTTACTTTAAAATGATTTACTTTTCCAGTGAGGTTCTTTTGACCGTGAAAAAAAATGTCTGAGTGTCTCAAAGTTAATGTTTTGCCCCCGAGCTTAAATTCTACATAACTCAAATCTGAAGCATGATATCGCCTCTCGTAATTCAGGCTAACCCCATAGAGGAAGATAAACTGCGAAGCAATGCCGATGAAAGCCTGTGTTGCAGCTCACAGGCTCAAGAGCAGGAGCTGAGAGTCACTTTGATTTTTGATGAACAAGTCCCCTTTTCCTTGGGACATTTCGTTACCTTCTTACAGTGATATGAGGCATTGGCCACACAGCGGAGGTTCTGGTTAGGCCAACCATCCAGATCGGAGTCTTCCCCACAGATGAGGCCGTCCCCAGCGTATCCTATTCTGCACTCGCACTTGTACATGGGCTCGCTGAACAGGCCCAGATAGATACACTTGGCAAACTTGTGGCAGTTGTGTGTGCCATCTTTGCACGGGTTGTGAGGCTCACAGACCTGCAGGAACAAGTAGCAATTTCTCATGACATTTCCTGATGCTGGTGAGTAATGATAGCAAAACAGCCAAAGAGACCTTATAGAGAACAAATAGTTGGACAGGAAATTGTAAGATGTAGAACACATAGTTGTCTTAATCTGTAACTTACTGACGATATTGCAGGTGAACAGGTTAGGAGTGTAATGATAGAAGTGTGAGGATAGGCAAACGCAAATTACACATGACACCAATGCACACATTGCAACAGTGAATAACAGTAACAACTTGCACTTATACAGCACGGTTCAAGTAGGATAATATCTGAGTGCTTCATAGAAATGTGCCGGACGCAGAAAAAAGAACAGGCAGAGGGAGGAAGGGGGCAATGACCACAGGCGTGGATGAAGAGGTAGGTTTAAAGATGGGATTTAATGACATAGAGAGGGGTAGAGGGAGGGAGTTCCAGAGGTGAGGGCTGAGCAAAGGGTCGATAGGATTTGAGGAGGTCAAACATACATATTACACATAACACACACATATTACATACAAATGCAAAAGTGCAAGTTGTTATTGATGTTGTTGAATGCTAGTTAGACACGATTAATCTACAAGAGGCAAAAAATAAGATCAACGTCATTGACATCTGAGCCTTACTTGCTTGTCTTTCTTGGCTGCTTCAATTCCAAGACCAAAAGGCTGGTTTCCTCTGTAGCGAGGTGGGCAAGGCAGACAGTGGAATCCCGGGTCTGTGTTTTCGCATCTCTGAACACCGTTCACCTTGTAGCACACGTCAGAAACCTCTTCACACTAGCAACAACCACACAATCAGCAGGTTAGCAAGTATCCTCGGGAACAGTACAGCAAAATCCAAACTCTGGAGCTCTGTCTCTTACCTCATCGATATCCTCACAAAACGTTCCATTGCCACGAGTACCAGCAGGGCATGGGCCACACTCCCAGGAGCCGTCAGGAGAGCTGTTGCACTCCACAGCAGCAAAGCATGGATTGGACAGGCAACCATCTAGTAAACAATACACACGCTTTTGCAATCAGAGGCGGGATCGACTGTACCAAGGACTCATAAGATCATAAGAGATTACAACTTGCACTTATGTAGCACCTTTCACATCGAAAAAACAGTAGGGACCATAAGCACAATGGAAGACAAGAGATAGGTGCGAGGTGTCCAAAGGTACAGTCAAAGAGAGAGAGTGTCTTAGATGGGTTTTATAAGTAGATTATGTGGTGTGTACGAGACAGAGGGTTCAGAGAAAAATCCAGAAAGCAGGGAGGGGGACAACCTCCTCATTCACAGACAGAGTAGCTGTGGGGTTGGAAACTCAGCACTGCCAGGCTCAAGACCACATAATCAGCAGTCACAGGTCTGGTTTACACCAATTGTCAAAAACGGTGACTTTTCCACACTTTGTCTTATTACAATCAGTACAACGTAAGCCCCAAATATTATATACTTCCACCTACCGATAGGACAGAGGTCTTTATTGCAAATCTCACTGACTTTGGCATCCCCCAGGCATTTCTTTCCTCCAAACTTGGGCACGGGATTGTTGCAGCTTCGCGTGCGTTGATGAAGTCCACTCCCACATGTGGCTGTGCAAGAAGACCATGGGGACCATGGGCTCCAGTTTCCATTGACTGGAAAAAGACCAAATAGTCAGTCTGACTTCGGTTCAGGGGTAGAATTACACTCAGAGAGACGTGGATTACTTCCCCTTACCAAAACCCGACAACTCAACAGCAGAGAAACCACACTTGAAGGACTTACTGGGACATGCAATCTTTATGCATTCTTTGGTCTCCCTTCCACTACCCTTGCAGTTTTTGCCCCCGAGCTGTGGCACCGGAGAGTTACAGAGACGAATGCGGGTAGTTATTCCTTCTCCACAGGTGACAGTGCACGGAGACCAAGGTGACCAATGACTCCAGCCTCCATTCTGACGGACTAAAGAGACAAGATATACATCAGGACTAATTGCACCATGGACCACAAGACATATCTGGGATGTGACAGGGAGAGGAACAGAAGCAGCACCAGACAGAAATAATTGGCCTGTGTTCCTCCACCAAGTTATCAATAAGATAAAAAAACACATTGTTCTACATAAAGCTTGAAGTCTATTTTTGTGACACTCAAATATGTGCATTAATGGTGAAAATGGGATTAAATTTAAATGTGTAGAGGATGAGTTTGTCTCCCCTTATAATGCAAATGCTTCATATACTCAGTACAGCAGCAAGCAGAATACATTTTGTTTGTAGTGTCCAAGGAGATGAAACAGGCTATGACTGGAGGAAGCACATGGAGGCACCTCCATGAATTTGAAGTCTAAGCTTCACACGCAACCTGTCAAAGAGATTGATGTTCAGAGCTTCAGAAGAGCAGGTTAGCTGCTGCCTCGACTGAAATGCTTGGACGATATGTTGCCTGGAGCCTTTCACACCCACTCCCAGGTCATTTCTGGTGTGCATTCTGATCAGCTGATTAAGATCTTCGAGCTGCCATCCCAACTAGCAGCTGAAGCCCGCCAGATCATTTGACTAGATTTGACGGGAAACTTTACAAAATACTAAAATAATAATTGCATTTGATACAGCATCTAAAACACTGAAAATGTCTCAAAGCCCTCCACAGAGTTGATTTTTTTCTGTAAAGTGGAGCAACTGTGTATCTGTAGGCGAACATGAAAGCCAAATTCGGTACATTAATGTCCCACAAACAGTTAAGTGAATGACCAGTATAAGTGGTAATTGTTGGCCAGGACACCAGGAGAAACTCCCTTCGCTTTATGAATAATGCAATGGGACCTTTAACCTGACCAAGCAGATGGAACCTCAACAACAACAACAATAAGATTCCATTTATTGAGCGCCTTTCACGTCGGGAGGACGTCCCAAGGTGCTGTACAGTTGGGTCAGGACCCGAGCAAGGGGGAAATGGTCAGGGTGAGGGGAGGGAAGGGAGGGAGCGAGGAGGGGGTAGAGAGTCGAGAGGGGAGCTGAAGGCACGGTCAAAGAGAAAGGTCTTGAGACCGGCCTTGAAGGAGGAAAGGGAGGAGGCGGCGAAGGCACTGGGGGATGGAGTTCCAGAGCCAATAAACCTCGGTTTATTGTCTCATTCATTTCAGCCAGAGTTCAAGACTTACTTCGTTTGTCACACTCGGACTTCTGGCAGGACTTGGTTTGGATCGATGGGCCTTCGCACCGGCTGCTGGTGGGATCACATGACCTTCCTCGCTGCTGTGTCCCAGTGCCACAAGTGGCAGAGCATTCTGTCCATTCAGACCAGGGGGACCAGCCATCTTCACTGTCCTTGACTGAAAAGAGAAACCAACTCCTAATGTACGACGACAGCAACAACAACTTACATTTATGTGGTGCCCGTCACACGAATAGCATCTCGGAGCACTCCGTACTCGCAATAATGTTAACAGTGTCTTACAGTGAACAGGAATTTAGATTTGTCATCTACCATCCATATTAAATGGTTCATACTGAAAAGTACTAAAGTGTAAACAATAGCCATTATTCCAGGGAAGAATCTGATTGCCCATTCAATACAACTTGCACGTATATAGTGCCTTTGACATAGTTAAATTTGTCACAGCTCTTTGCAGAGATGGAGTGCAAATCCAAGCAGGGTTTGAAATGGGGGTAACAGGCAAGAAGCAACCCGAAGCACAGTTAAAGAGATAGATTTGTAGAAGGGTTTTGAGAGCGAAGAGGGAGGGTGCAAGCTAGAAGCATTTAGAGAGAACGTTCCTGAGAGCACTGACTGAAGACTCCTAGTGGTGATTGGAGTGAGTGGATGGGGGAAATGAAGCAGTCCTGAGTTGGCAGAGTGGGTGCATTGGGTGAGGGAGTAAGACCACAGACGATCACAGAGATACAGCGGGGCAAAGGACTTCATTAGACTCATTACTACATCATTTAAGATTAATTTTATTCTCATTTTAGTTAACATTTCTAATCTGTTCCTTTCTTTTAATAGTTAGGAATTTGGCATTAATCCTAAAAATGCCAGTTTTTTCTGCTCTTTTATGTCCCCGATTTAAGAATTTGGAATTTGTTCTTGAATCTAATCATCTAAACCAGGAATTAATGAGTGCTGGTCAAGCAACTTGAGTCTCAGCGATGCACTAATCTTTTACTTTGTATTCACACGTGCATTCTCAGACTGTTTCAATCTCTCAGGAGGGGCATTATTAATGCAATCAGCTTCCTGATGATATCAAAGCCAATTTGACTGGGCTTTTATATGGATGGTGAGTAATATGTTTTATCACTGCTTAGTTTTTCTCAATATTAATACAGTCACCATAAACACCAACCTCAGTACTTTCTAATGTTCTCAGAAACCAGTGGAAGCCTCAACATTGTGACCATTTTGTGCTTGCCATCGTAACCCAAGCTTAACAATGACGACTTTATCAATGTGTTTCATTTGAGATTTGGTAATGTTGTTTCAAAATCTACATGTAATGTTTTGTATGCCTCATGGTTGTTCTTCTTAAAATGCTGGCTTTATCCACATTTGATTATCTAGTTTTATTGGGTACTTTCACCTGTTCTCAAAAGCACGTGTAAGTATGAAAGCCAGATTCACAAAGAAACTCTGAATAAAGGAGGGAAAGGCAGAAAGGCAGCAGGGATGAATGACACTGTTGGAAAAGCCACAAAGATGAAATAAAGCAGGGAGGGTTTAAAGCAAGGTAGCTTATTTTGCTAAAAAAAATGTCAAATGATCCCAAGGTTTGAAAGTTAAGCAAATTATCTCATTGGAGGTTCTATCTGCTTTCTCTGATTTTATGAAAGAGAGAGAGAGAGAAAATTAATTACAACATAATCTTTGGAGTCAGTTCGCAGCTAACTTCAGTGACCCTGAATCCCAATTCCAAAATAGTCAGTGCCTCCAGAAGAAGAGTCAAATATAACCTTTTAAAAGAAAAATCTAAAAGGCGAGTCTGAAACATAATTGAAATGATACAATAGAGAATTTTAGAAATCCAGCAAATTAAAGCAATAATTGTTACAAGCATATTCTAAACTCTAGAATTAAGATGCATGTTTTTAAAAGGTTTTACTCTACTGAAAATATTACAACAAGGGTACTCCCGCCTTCAGAGTGGATTTTTGACTGTAGTGTTAAGGACGTTTTTCCAGTGGTGTGAAAAATGCAATGCTTCATAGTAGAGTTGATGTGATAAATAGCACATCAAAGGCCCAATATTCTACCTAGTCTTTGAGATAGTGCAGAATTGTGGAAATTCTTCAATTCAGTTTAAAATCAGAAGCTGACTTTTAAGAACTACAGAAGACTGGTTTCCAAATTAAGTTTCTCACATTTCTGCACCAATTCAAGTTTGAAGACAAAATAATCTTACAGACAAAGTCTGTGTGGAATTTCAGGGCTTGAATCTGCTATGGAACATTATAATTTTCACCCCATTTTGTATTTTTTGATTTGAGTTGAAATCTTAGAAAGCTGAGCAGGCTGGGTTTGGGATCATCAAGGCTGCAAGTAATCAAAAGTTAAATTCCATCTGAAAACCATTTCGTTTTGCAGTTAGAGGTTCAAGCAGTTTAAATTTGTTATCCGAAAATGATAATTGATTTTTACTGACAGATCATTTTGCAGCTATTAATAGCAGTAATGAACGTGAAGGAATTCATAATAAAACAGCTGCAACTTACCAAGAATGTAGCCCGACTTCCTCTGTGCAAAATCAATCTGCCCCCAATTCAAATTTTAAGATAAAATACGGGCAAAGTGGAATTTCACAGCCCCAGATCTGCTATGCATCATTATAATTTTCACAAGCATTATTCATTGTTGTCTGTATTGCATGAGCTACCCAGGTATAAAATAGAATATCCTCAGACTAGAAACACAGGAGCAACAATTCACAACAGAGCAAAGACATCAGACTGAGGAATGAATACAGTTGGCTTGAATTGGCTTGTGAAGTAAGTGGGTAGAAATTCCACCTTACTCTATTTACCCTATTTATCAGCATTTCAGAGCTTTCAGAATTTTGCAAATTCTTAAATATAAAGCCTTAATATTGAAGTACAACTGGTTCTGGAGTCAGAGTGAAGTATACATAGTTTGGAGTCAGAATAAATTACATCTAGTCTGGATTACTTAATTAAGAAATCCTATTTGTAATTGTTGCATTTTACTCTTCATTGTTCACAATTCACAGATCAGGACTCTCTAAATCGTTATTACAATATATCGCATGTTACAGTCCTGCAGTATTATTACTACCACGTGTTATCAGGAACCGGTTAGATCACCAGATGTGGACCATTATCTAATGAAAAATGACAATTTCACCTCCACAGCAATGATGATGACACAACATCAATGGGATCCCGATGCTGTATGAACTCATCAGATATGAAGGGAAGACCTGTTCAGTCTTTATGTTTTACCTTGATTTGTACTATCACACGCGATTCTCAGACCATAACCTAGAACATACGATTTTAAGAATTGTAAAACGCTTGAATAACATCAAATTCACTTTTGTTTGTATTTTTACACACTTTCTTCCTCCTCTGTTGAGTATGTTACATTTGGTGAACATTTGGTGTTCGGCTCTCATTTGAGCCCTGCTTTCAAATGTCTTGGTCAAAGCTCAGAATAAGGTCTTACTTTATAGGCCAATTCTCTATCTTACGAGGGGAGGTTATGACAGAAGTTGATCTCATCTCAGAAAGCCTGTCTCTATGAGAAAACCTTTCTCATCCCAGAAAGCCTTTCTCAACAACCTTGCTCTATGTGAGGCAGTCACATTTGCAGGTGACACTATGGAATCAGAGGAGGCAGTAAAGGTCTTATGAAGAAAACTTGATACAGTAAATACATGGGATGATACCTGCAAATGAAGGTTAATGAAAATAAATACAAGGTATTACATATAGTAATTTAGAACAGGAATACAAAACTCAAGCATGCTATGGTTGGGATAGAACTGGCCAAGGGGGAAGCTGAAAGAGATCTAGGGGTATCCAATGACTCATTGGGTCAAAACAGTGTGAGGCAGCAATATACAAGGCAAATAAGATGCTGGATTTTATTGCCAAATATGTTGAATTCAGATCCTCAGACATCATATTCAAGCTACGCAGGGCTCTGCTCAGGGCAAACTTAGTGTACTGCATGCAGCTCTGGTCACCCATGACAAAAGGAGATTCCAGACCCTAGAAGCAGTGCAGAGGAGAGCAACAGGATGATCCCCAGTGTTAGATGAATGAGTTGTGAGCAACAATTAGCCAAACTAGGACTCTTCCATCTTGAAAGGCGATATATCAGAGGGGAATGGGATTTTAAATGGGATTGAAAAAGTAAACCCAGAACATACTTTAAGATATACCAAAACAGTAGAACGAGAGAACAACTTTAGGACGGACAGCAGCATGTTTTTCTTTACCCAAATGACTGAAACAGGTGGTCGGGAAGGGTAGTTGAGGGCAGGACACTGGATTAATTAAAAAAAAACAGTTGGTGCTAGGATTGTGGGATGGTGGGGTGAGTATTTTGGAATGAGGAGATCAGATGGACCGAATGGTTGGGCTTTTTTCATCCTTGTGATCTTGCGAAGTGACTTTTCAAACAGAGTTGACTATGATGGTTAAAGGGAATCAGATAAACACATGAAAAATAAATATATAAAAAGTGACTAGAAAAGAACGGGGAATAGGGATTAGAGTGGATAGCTCCAGTAGGGAGTTAGCAGGCAATGGACCAAATGACCTCCTTCTGAGCAGGAAGTTCCATGTTTCTAATATAGAACAGCAATGACATCAGTCAAGAGATAGCCCAGGATATCGCAGCCTACTGGCTGGAGGAGGATGATATGAGAAAGCATCAAAGAGATGCACAGGAAGAAGGAAACTGCAAATAACATTTTTTTAAGGAAAAACTACTGAAACAGAGGACTATTCTCAGTTTTCTGATGGTTTAGCAGACTGAATCTCTGAAATCTTCCTTCATTTCTGATCCCACTCTTCTATATATTGCCCATGGTATTCACAGCCTCTTGTGTCTATTCTCTGATCTGTTTCAACTTTGTTCAGCTTCCTCTGCTCTCATGGTCTTCTCTCCCACTTCCCTTCAGCTGTTTCCTGTCTAGCCCTCAGCGACTCACAAGTTGATGAAACGCAGGGAACACATCCAGCAAAAAACTGCTCCGTGATTCAAAGGATCCACACTTAGAGATGTAAAACTCTCCAAACTGCCAGCACAGCAATACTCTCAGTAGTCTGTCTGGACTTAACCTGATGTCCCCCTTTCTAAGCACACTGTAAATGAAGAATTCTCTCGGTACATAGCTATCCAGTACAGTACTCTATAGTAATGGGATTAGCCAGCGAAGAGCAATACAAGTCCACCACCTTCTGGAAAATGTAGTTTAAATGGGAGAGGCATGCAGACTGGTAATCTGAGGATCAGTTATGATTTGGGTCTCAAGCCCGAGTACAAAATAATTTACATTTATATAGTGCTTTTCAAGCTAGGAGGACATCCCACATCTCATAAAGTATGCAGTTTGATATGAAATAACCCAGATGCCTACCTTTGAAATATAATGGTGGATTACTAACTGAGCACATTAATGTGGGAGGATCTCTAGTTCCAATTTACAAGTAACACTCATGCACAAGTGCAGAATCCTCACAGGAACACTACCACCTCCTCCAAGTTACCCTCAAAGTCGCTCATAATCCTGATTTGGACATATATCGCAGTTTGTTCACTGTCAGCATTGCCCACATCCTGGGACAGAGTAAAATAAAAGAAGTGAGATGAGGAAGATTAGAGTCAGTGCCTGGTGACCAGAGCTAATCAAGAAGGGAAATTTGAGAGAGAGGATACTCAGAATCCATGACAGTGGCTGACATGACAGCCAGTACTATCTAGGGGTCCAGTAAATCTTTTTTCCTTTTCTTTGTTGGAAACCAAATGCAGCCTAAGTTGTATCATAACTCACAGTCAGCAGAGGAGCCTTTGATCTGTTAAATCTGAACTGTTGATTCTAATAACGGTCAAACCACTCTTAGGAAGGCTACTTTCATGATGAAGGCTTTATTCACAAAGGCAATGTTTCACATTACTTCATTTATATTAAACACATTTCTCTCTTTACCACTGTCCCAAACCCACTTAAATGGAAGCAACTGGTTTGCTTTCAACTTATTTTGTTTCAATAACTGCAGTACTGCGATGTGCAGCTCTTTACTGTGCTATGTATGGCACCACAACATGGAACAATCGACTGTAATGCAACCAGAAAACAAGTGCTCAGAATATATACTTACGGAGACATGAAGGGCAGCACTCTCCTTCAATGAAAGATGGATTGGCACATGATACTGGTGGGCAAGTAATTCGGCGGCAGATGATACTGAAGTCCTGCGTATTGAAATAAAATACTTTTCTGTCAATAAATATTTAAAAAACTATTTGCATTTGTTATGCACTTTTTTGTCAGGTTCCGCCACTGTTAAGCACTCTGAGACACTATCCTGCGTGGAGGGTGCTATGTAAGTGCAAGTTGTTGTTGTTGTCAAAATGTGTTTCATCTTATAAAACTGTTAGCAGTTGTTTGCATCCACTAATGAATAGATATTATAACTTTCTATGTTTGTATTTGCCACACCCTTAGTGTTTGCACACAAAAATATAGCTACACTTTACAGTATATTCTGTAAAGCGCTTTGAGACCTCTGCCCTTCTGAAATGAAATGTGCTATTCAAAAGCAAGGATAATAAGTATTATTATCAATCTAGTGATCAAAACTAAGGCAGTTATAACTGAGGTCAGGAAGCATTTTTTCACAGAGGGAGAGGGTTGTGAAGATATGGAATCCTTTGCCCCGGAAAGCTACATAGATGGAATCATTAACATTGTTTTAAAGTGAGATATACAAATACTTAATTAGTAGAGATATCAAGGGATATAGCAAAAGTGCAGGGACTAATATTAAAAGCACTGCCGATTTATAATAAACTGGGCTGAATAGCTTCCTCCTATGTCTGTTTGCCCATCTTTCTAAGATTAGTGCCACTTTAAACAGAAAATGTGGTCAGTTCCCATTGCTCATAAGGAAATTGCTTGTGGAGAGCTGTGCAAACATTTATTAAAATACTTATCTCGGTTTTACTTGACACTTGACAAAGACAAAGAAAATATTTCTACTTGTGAGGAATCGTGACAAATACAGTTTATAATCTTTGGCTCTGCTCTTAATAGGAGTGCAGCTCTTATGAATGGGGGAAGAGTACAAATTGTTTGCGGCACACTGGCCCCACTCTGCCATTGGCTTGTGCACGAGAAACAATAGAGGAGAGATGATTTACTTGCAATGCAGCCCTTTCCAGAGCAGCATTACTAATTAAACACAGATTCTGCCTTATGCCTTGATACCTAACACTGCCAAAAACTATTGAGTTTGGCTCTTAATAATCCAGCGCATTGTGTTTGAAATGTTTCAAAGATCTTAATCACACATTAACAGATCTTGTTCTAAGAGTTATTCATAATTGCTGCTGTTTTACTTTCCAATCTCAAAGTATTTATATGTTGATACCATCTAATTTCAGTTCTCGATAGTTCTTACGATCCAATTTGCTGATCATATGATATTAATTATTTATTTTTATTAAGTAAGGACTGAGAAGAAAAATATGCCAAGGAACCTTGTTGGAGCTGGAATTTCACTCAAGACAAAAGGATCTGCACAACCTCAAACTGAAACGAAATGGGACAGGAAATAAAGGGAAATATAAATGGAACTGAGACTTAAGGAATATTGCACAGGATGAAGAGTATAAAGCATCCAGAGAGTCTACAAGAATCTGAGACAATGCAAAGTGAGGATGATGCACAAATCATTGACTGTGATCCTTTAGTTGGACTTTTATGATTTTAGATCTAGAAATTGCTTGAGGCATCTGAATACTTTACCTTTGGGAAAGGCAAAGCAACCCATTTGTTGGCTCCGCTAAAGAAAAGAATGGTTATCCACCCAGCTTTCAGTGACATCCTGAATGCCATCTCCAGTTATTTGAGTGAGTGCCAGGGCTGAACTGAAGAGCCACGTCAGAATCAATAAGGGAAAACACAATTATGTGAGAAATTAAGTTACAATATTTTGTTCCAACCAGATTAAAGTGCTTTGATACACAGAAACTGGGGTTATCTATGCTTGGGCACAACATTTTGTTTGAATGGAGAGTGGGAAGAAGCTTCAATCCTGTTTAGCAATGCTCAAGTATATGCTCTATTAAGAGATGATAGGTTTATGAGAAAGGTGCACACCACAATATAATCTGTCTGAAGAACTTTTTCCTGTGGGTAAGTCTTGTATTGCCATTATGTAAAAATACATGTGAATCTCATTCTGTGTGTCCTATCAGTTACTGTTTCTAAATATCAGTGACAGGAGTACTTTACAGCCTTTAGATCAGGGCACTAGGCCATTCTTATTCTAACATAGTTTGTATTTGGCACCAGATAGTGGGTCCTGTCATATTCTGAAGGATCTGTAAGATACATTGTATTTAAGAGATATTCATTGTAGATTCCCTTTATTAGCATGTTAAAGGGCTGCTGTCCTCATGGAAAATGTTAAATAAACATTTTTCTGAAGTGCAACACGACTAGGCAAGTAACACCTTGTCAAATGCCTGTGGTGCCTTGGAGATAAAACACTACACAACTGCTAACTGTCTCTCCTCACAAATCAAAGAATGAAACATTTGCCAGATACTATTTTCATGAAGACAGTAAGCCATTAATGATGTGTTTATTTAATAAATTGACATAATCATTCGGTGCATTATAAGATGCTTGAGAATGACTGAATGACGGTTGTTAAAAAACGTTTATAAAACGCTTTCCTTTCCTAAAGACATTCTCACCTTTACTTGTGGTTACAAAGAAGAAACCTCCAGCTCGTGCAACTGAAGTGAAGACTTCACAAATATCACAAATGGGTTACAATGCTATCATGTGAAGCACAAGGGGAGCAATGACTTAGTCTATTTTCTTCGCAGTTCAGAGCGCAGAATTTGACAAATGCTAATTCAGTCTTAACTTTGAAACCGATTTCCTGTAAATTATTCAATAATAATAGAAAAATGGCTTCAAATTTAAGATTGAATTCAATATTCTGCCAAATTCTGCATGAACCACAAAGAAAATACAATAAATCTGGACCCGGGTGGTTTCTTCCTAAACGTGTGAAACTTAACCAGTGGAACTGAAAATCGTGGTTTCAAGACCCACATTGGGTCTTGGACTCACAGTGTAAGCTTATGCTCCAGTAGACTATCGGGAGGAGCACTGCATTGTCAGAGGTGCTATCCTTCTGTCCCTTGAGGTGGATGTCAATGAACACAGGACACTCACTGTTCAAACAGAGAAAGGAGTTTCTCCTGATGTCCTAGTCAACAACTGGCCATACTAATTGGTCACAATCATTCCCTTCACGGCTGTTCATTGAACTTTGCTATGTGCAAATTGGTCACACATTTTCCGATAAATTGCACAGTCACTATACTTAATAAAAATGACTGTAAATGTTTTGAGACATAGGTATTATATAAATTGATTTTTTCCTTCCTTAGTTTTTCCTTTCTAATGATTGTAACCTGCAAGTTAGCTTCCACATGTAACATCTGTGATATTATCAAGGGTTTCAGGGACAACTGAATAAGTCAATGGTGAAGGTTGAAGAAAGCCCCAAGAATGCCTTTGCACTGACCTGACATGTGCACTTTGTGCAGCTATCCACAGTCCACTCTTCCTGGTAATCAAAGAGACGTCCATCGTGCCAGCATTGGCCTGGCTTAATTTTATAATTACTTTCTTGCAGGATTTTGTTAAATAACACATTTTCTTCGGTCTGCAAAAGATTGGCACAGGTTCAAAGATGACTACATTCATACTGCATTCAAACATTCTGTGGGTGTAGTGTTCTAAACGTTGACATCAAAAGGTGATGTGTGATACATACCACTTTCTGCAGTCCATCTGCCAGATTGCTGACTACAACCCTCAGTCCTTGCAGCTCTTTAAACATGTTTTGAATATCATTGCAGGAGTGGTCACAGAAATCCACCACTTTATTCATCTTATGCTCGAGGAAATCACTCTTGGCCGAGGTGCCCATGTCAACAAATTCTCTGCTTTCATTACTGGTCAACACTTCAGCTGCGGAGTAAACGTAAATGGCACAGTATTGTTATTGGCTTGTGCGACCCATTGATTGAATCACCTTTTCAAAACACATCTGGGGGATGAGGAAATGAGAAAAGACTCTCAACAGGACTCCTAACTTTCTTCCTGAGGATTGTTTTTACAGATGACTTCAGCTACACAAGTCAGTACCAATTTTATAACCTCATTGATGATATTTTATTGACAGCCTCCTTATTATTCAGAAACGCAAATAGCACTAAACAGAGCAAACAATACATTAGGACCACAAAGTTATAGAGCAGTATCCAGACTGAGGTTTCACGCCAAAATAATTATTGTTAATGACTGGAATAAAGAATTATGATGAGGAAATAATGCCAAGGTTTTCATTTGGGCTCCAACTGCAGAAGTTTTGAAGTCACAGACTGCTGTGCTGTAAACTGTTAGGAATTGTACACAGGAATCTCTTGACAATTTAGCCCAGTCAATGCGCTCACAACATTACATCTGCAAAATCTGACACTGCAGATGTTCTTTGTGGTTTTACAGTGAAGGAAGTACAGCTAGCTAGTACAAAGGCTTTCTGAACCAAGTGAATGTGTTGATCAAGGGCTAACCCGTTCCATTCATTCATTTTAGTTGATTTGCTAATTTACTCTGGCAATTTCTAATGGGGTTCCTTAATAAATAAACCTGAAGTGTGCCACATCTAGTTGTAGGAATTTTGGTCCAACGCAATGTACTTTCGGAGCAATATTCCCATCATTCAGTGGGTGTGTATGATGTACTTCCAGTTACTAGAAGGAATCCCAATTTGGATTCCTGACTATGAAATCCATTTAGAAATCTCCACAAACTGTATTTCTAATTTACAGTGCCATTATAGTTAAAAACAATAAATGTTACTGTGGTTACCTATAAACCCACAATGACAAATTGGCTAAAATGACCAAATGGAGAACCCTAGTGCACATTGCACACAGCAGTGTTTCACAAACAGTCGTGGACAGAGTAACTAAATTTTCTTTAAGGGATTATTACCCCCGGAAAAGCAATCCGCCAATTGACTAACCACTGGCTTCCTATTTACTGCTAGGTAAACAGAGGCGTGTGGAATAAGCAAACTTGCCCCACATTTCGCCCTGCCCAGGAATCAAACCCAGATGCTCTTGCTCGCGAGGAGAGTATGAGACAGGACTCCACAAACATTCTTTTGTGTCAAAATCTAATATAATAGCATGAATGCCTGACAGCCCTTCAAGCTGGTTATAAGACTTGCTAATTCAAACGTCTTGCTGAAAGTGTAGCAATGGTACTGCATTGGCAATGCAATTCAAACAAGCTGATTTCCCTGCAAGTCCTGGTATTGGAGTGACATCCAGACAGATTTAGTGGGGTGGATCAGGATGACTCCACCTTCAACACATGGTCATTGTGTCCTCATCTTCAACACATGCTCAATACATTTCCATCTTTAACATATAATCAGTGTGTCTCCATCATATGGTCATAGTGTTTCCATCTTCAACACATGGTCATCTTCAAAATGTGTCCGCTGAAACTAATAACTGAACCTTACTTTGTCTCAGTCTGATTTCACTTGGAATAAACTTACATTTGAAGCAACTCTCCCTGTAGATTATTTGGTGTAGTGAACCTGTTGAAATTCCCTATAATACAATAATTTGATACAGTGCAAATCATTGTAGTTCTGAAGTTGTACTGCCTCAGATCAGTGTGTTAAGGGCTGAAATGGCAATGAAATTCCTTGATAATTGTTTGTAACAATCTACCAAGCAAGTGAATAGAGGCACTGGAATTATTCAATGTACAAATAGATATCTTGGGAGGAAATTGAATAGAGGGAATGAGCATTGATAGGGAAAATGGCCTTTTCTCATCCCCATGGAATATTCACCATGAATAAGATTGCAGCATCAGTAAACATTGGCAACAACGGATATATCTTTCACTTGTATGTTTTGCTGATGGGATCCTGGCAATAACACTCATGAAGTGCATTGTGGTTATTGGCAGTGATTATCACTGTCACAGCTTCTTCCTCACTGAGCAATAATAATTGGATTGTGTAATAATTGTGATTGTGCAATAATGTGTCACAGAAATACCAACATTCCTCTTCCAGTTCAAAATGTGGAAGAAAATCAATGAAATGTTTACACACTAGACAAATGTAAGTATTTTGTTTGTAAAGGAACATTAACAAATTGGCTTAATTGCCCAGAATTGCCCAAATTCCATAAGTTAACATTAATTATATTCTAGCAGTCAATGATGATGCACCTACAATATTGTGTTATTGATATTTCCAAAGTCATTAACGAGCCAACTGGGTTCCGCAAAAAGTGAAATGGCTGTAAGGCTTGGAATCCATTGGAGTAAAAAGCTCAACACTGACATCTGAAGGCAGAGGTCCGCCACATAGCTGATCAAGATTTGGGTGACAGCTGGTGGAAGGCATTACCTGGAGTCTGAGTTTGTGAATACATGTTTGTATATCCAGTGCCTAGAATCTACCTTGGGGAGAGGCAAGCAGCTGCTGCTTAAACTCTGCACCTTCAACTGGTGGAACCATCGCTCAATGGGAAGGAACGTGTGCCCAAGCTGCGTACAGGAAGTTGATGGCAATGCACGAATTTAATGCGGAGCTGTGTTGCCCACCAGGAAGCGCATAGAGAGTTCCTGGTACCCACCATCAACCTAGTGAGGGCTGAAATTCGGACTTGTCCAAATAGTGACTATCCTCCTTGGGGGGAGGTAAGCAGAGTCTCCTTGAGGCTGAGCTGGCTCCAAAGTGACTTGTTTGGCAACGGAATGTCTGAATCGAGCCGCCCGCTGTGGTGGTATAGGTAGTCCGGTTCTTGAGTCAGGAGGGTCTGCAGTATTCCAGGGCACTGCTAATGACAGCACAGGCTCATCAGGAGGGCCTGAAAGGGCAAACCAGTCACTGGGGGGCAGGGAATCCTCCCATTCAGTTCCCATTAACTCTGTAAGCCAAAGCCCCAACTGATAGGGTAGTTCTAGCTAGATAAGCAGCGGGAAAGCTTGCCAGACAGTGCTATCAATGGTAAGCTTTGTGGGTTTAGCTGGTTAGATTCCAGCAGTAGTACCCTAACACACACTCTGGGGTCCCCAAGCCTTGGCTCTTGCCAACCTGCACCTAATACGTTCGACATTAGGTAAACAGGATGTGTCCCTCCAGGGAGAGAGTGCATTCCATTCCAACAATCTATCTCTGGGATCTCCATGTGTAGGTGGGATGCGTAGTATTTTGGATAGGATGCTTTAAGCATGGTGATGGGTTTCTGCATGTTTCGGACACCAGGCTGACCAAAACAAATCTCACAGCCCATGTTTACAGAAATCCTGGCGTGGGCTGATGCACATAGTAACAGAGAGGCTGGGGAAGGAAGCTTCACTCTCCATGTGGATGCGGTTTAAACAGACAGAACTAATCTGACAGCTGACTCTTTTCCTGGTTTGTGACCCGAGCAACAACTCCAACAAACCAGCAATGCATTAGAGACTTAAGGTTGAAGGGAATCGGAGTCGTTTAATAATAATAATAATAATAATCCTTGCATTTGATATAACGCTTTTCACGTCGGGAGGACGTCCCAAAGCGCTTCACAGAACACACTGTAAAGTGAATTGACTGTATATTTGTGGGCGAACGCGGCAGCCAATTGCGCACAGCAATGTCCCACAAACAGTCGTAGATTGAAAATGACCAATTTATTATTGTTTTTGGTTTTTGAAGGGATTATTATTAGGCTCTGTGTGGAGTAAGGAAACTTGCCCAAGGTTTCGCCCTCTGCCTGGAATTGAACTCAGGTCTCTCACTTGCAAAGCGAGTGCTCTAACCACTGAGCTACAGGACTCCACAGAGTTTAAAGTGAAACGTTATCGATGAGCATTTCAATTCGAAATGGGTCTTTTCGGTGCAGAGCAACTTAAACCACTCGGACTTCAATACATAAGGGTTAGGGGAGAGAGAAAGAGAGGTGCAGTGACAGGTAACGTCATCTTACCTGTTTGGAGGCAGCCTTTATTCCGGAGGACGTTTTCAAGAGAGGTCCCAAAGATAAAGCGCACATTCTGCAGAAAGCCCTGAGGACCAAAGACATTTATTGTTGAGACAGAAGACCTCACTGAGAGAGCAACAGCTTCGGGCCATAACTGATCAGTTTTACAGTAGAGCCACTGGGAATCAATGAGCTGCCAACAGGGCTCAGAAAGCAGCACATACAAATGTCAAGCGCCAGGCAAGAAGCAATGCAAGGAGCGCCTGCAATCCTGGAAGGCACAGTAGTTTATTATTAGATCGGGAGGGAGGAGGGGAAAGGAATCTCATGTACATACCCTGAAGTGTCTCCCGGGTGTCAGTCCCTTGGTCACATACAGTCTGCTACCGCCTGAAGTGAGCTGCTCATAGAAAGGATCGTCCAGGATGAAGCTGTCAGCCAGGTCACAACCCACGTACAAATAAGCTTTCTCCCCGTTGACTTGGATGGTGACGTTTTTCCATTGGGAGTCGGCGATGTCCACGTCTTGGAAGGACACCAGGTTCTGGGACTTCTCCACCGAGTACTGGAAGTCCAGGGTGTTGGCTTGCCCGTTGGATATGATCTCGAACTGGCGCTTGTAGCCGGGTCCCTCGATGGCCAGGAGGGTGCCCCGGGTCTTTCTGTCCTGCCTCAGGCTGGCCACCAGGATGAAGCCCTCGTAGTATTTCATGAGTCTGACTATATCCTGGAAGCTCTGGTCTGCGGCTGGGGGGATCTTGTCAAAGCGGGTGAACCTGAAAGCCGGGACACTGCGGTCCGGACCCCGGAATAGCATGACTCCCGCAGTCTGTCTGTTTATTTTGCTGATCTCAAACAGGTCAAAGCTCATCTCTTCCTCGGGAATCACATCTGAAAATTGAATTCAACAAACAGAGAGTTAAAACAAATACTCCAATAAACAAGCAGACAAGTCGAGGAACAAACAGATGAACAAACAGAGACTTAAGACAGACGCAGAAAGACACGAATAGACAGATAACACGAACAGGTCCAAGAATAAACGGATATAGCGAAAAATACACGAACAAGTACACGAATGGATGGATAAATAAATAAATCAATGCACGAGTGGGACACACGAATACGTGGGCACATAACAGCGCTCTGGGGGTTCAGCTTTCATCCGTTGCCACAGTAATGAGACGCAGCAACACGTTTGGAGATCTCCTACCCAGAGGGTCAGCAACGATTCCAACAGCCACGAAGACAGGCACCAGCCACCGCATCAGTCCACTCCTCCGCACCATCAGTCCTGCAAAAGGACCCGCAAAATCTGCGGTCAAAGTCACCTCCCGGGTTCGCAACCCGCCCCGCAGCGAGAGCCCGGAGCGCTTCGTACCAAAAGCGGACACTTTTATTTTTTTCTCTCTCTCACACACTCACACACACACACACACTCACACACACACACAGCAACGCGATCGAACCAGATGGCAGTATTTTGCAATATTGCAATAGTGTTTAATCCACCTGTCCCCGGGCTCCGCATTCCGGCTCCGACTTGTCAGCGGGTGTCGCGGTTATCGCGCACGAACGTTTAAAACACCCGCAACCGCACGGGGAGAGAGACATGCAACTCCGCTCTCTTTTGCGGGGAGTTGTTGGGCAACAAAAATAAAAGAAGGTGCAAAGCAAATCCTACCGAGAGGCGCGTTGCTGTCGGCGTGAAAAAGCGAGTCACTGAGCTGACCCTGGCGGCTGCAATCCTCCTGCAGCAACACAGCGGGGCTTCGACACAGGGGTCTGAAGGAGGGATGGGATGGGATGGGATGGGGTGGGATGGATGGGATGGGATCGGGGGGCTTCACTTGCTGGAGGCTGCTGCCCTGCTGCTCCGGTGGCAGCTGGAGCTGGAAATAACCGAGAGCAGCGGCTCGATCCGCCGCTTTTATATGCACTTTGTGTGCGGCGCTGTCAATCAGTCGGGGAGGAAGTTGTGCGCGTTTCAGTCCCTCCAGAGGGGAGTTACACAATCCTTTTCTGATCGCCTCTCTCGCCCCCGCGGCCCCCGCTGTACCTGCCGACCGACCTGAGCTCAGCTCCTGTCTGACTGGCTTTTTTTTTTGCACACACACACACACACACACACACACACACACGCAGGTCAGCGGATCATACACATGTGCATATATATATATTTATGTTTATAGATGTATTTACGCGGGGGGTAGAGGGAGGGATGGGGGGGGATCAGCAGGTCAGGTCAGGAGCAACGCTGCAACCCTCGGGTGCGAAGGAAAAGACACTTTGAAATAAATGGGTGTAATGTTGATAAGGAAACGGCGACGGTGGGACTCACTGGGGGACCGGGACCCTGTCGGGGGGGGGGGGGGGGACACACACGGGCCACGGTTCGCTGGGCGGGTGTTTGCAGCGAAGTAGATGGGGAGGGAGGGAGGGAGGGGGGAGAAGAGGGACTGGTCTGGACGATGGTTTGCAGCCCTGGATCGGGATCGGGGAGCAGCGAGCGGACCAGCAAAAGGGCACAGCGCTCTGGGATCACTTCAAAGACACCTTATGCCCAAAGGGGTCGGCGCATATATATATATATATGCATATGCATATGCATATAAATACATATACATGTATATGCATATATATATATATATATATGGCACTATAGCAGCAGCTGCCGGGCGAAAAATGGGAACTTTTATTTCTTTTCTTTTCTTTTCTTTCTTTCTTTCTTTCTTTCTTTGTTTGCACGAATTTGCAAGAGCTTTATTTATCTCACGCGGTGACGGGATCTCTGCTCCTGCGGTCCCCACAACCCGGGACCCCGCTGTCAGGTGGCGACCGGAGGCCAAAGTGGGCGCTTTAACCATCAGAGAGTAGCACTCGCCGCATAGAGATAGATAACGCAGCAGAAAGGAGCCTCTCTCGTGGCTCCTGAGCTACTGGATATATATGCAACGCCAATTTCGCTGTGGGTTAAAAATCTTGTGGATTATTTTCCGTGGCTTTAGTTTGCGATTCCCTGCACACACACTCTCTCTCGGGAGCTGAGTCTGCCTTCCAAAGCTCACTGTACAATTCCCCGCTGTCAAAGGGAAACTGGCTTTACTGGAGAGGGTTCTTTCAGCCAAGGAGAGCTGAACAAAGATTGCTGTGAAAGTCATCTGGTCCTGGTCCTGGTCCTGGCCCTGGTCCTGGTCCTGGTCCTGGTCCTGGTCCTGGCCCTGGTCCTGGCCCTGGTCCGGGTCCTGGCCCTGGTCCTGGTCCTGGTCCTGGTCCTAGCCCTGGCCCTGGTCCTGGTCCTGGTCCTGGCGCTGGTCCTGGCCCTGGCCCTGGTCCTGGCCCTGGTCCTGGCCCTGGTCCTGGTCCTGGTCCTGGTCCTGGTGCTGGTGCTGGTCCTGGTCCTGGTCCTGGCCCTGGTCCTGGTCCTGGTCCTGGCCCTGGCCCTGGCCCTGGCCCTGGTCCTGGTCCTGGCCCTGGTCCTGGCCCTGGTCCTGGTCCTGGCTGGAGAGCACCGACAACTCCGAAAAGAAGTCTCTCTGGGGCAAAATTTCAGTCTCAGGACAATTTTTTTTTAAAAGGACAATTGCGTTTGCACACACTCACTCACTCACGCTCACTCACACTCGCACACTCACTCACACACTCACTCACACTCACACACACATACACACTCACACTCACTCACACTCACTCACACATACACACTCACACTCACTCACACTCACACACACTCACTCACACGCACACACTCACACTCACTCACATACTCACTCACACACACATGCACACTCACACTCACTCACACTCACACTCACACACACATACACACTCACACTCACTCACACTCACACACACTCACTCACACGCACACACTCACACTCACTCACATACTCACTCACACACACATGCACACTCACACTCACTCACACACTCACTCACACGCACACTCACACACACATACACACTCACACATACTCACACACACATACACACACACACTCACACACTCACTCACACACACACACACATACATACTCACTCAAACACACACACACACACACTCACTCACTCACACACTCACACACACATACACACTCACACATACTCACACACACATACACACTCACTCACATACGCACTCACACACATACACACTCACTCTCACTCACACACACTCACACACTCACTCACACTCACTCACACACGCATACACACTCACTCACACTTTCCTATATTTGTAACGTTAGCCTCAACAGGGAGTAGGATGTCAGTGGATAGGAAAGGATGTCAGTGGATAGGAAAGGAACACTTTTACGCAGCACCAGTGTGGGCATCACACATTTTAAAGTCAGGTCCATCCAGGTGCTATCTGAAGATGAAGCATGAAGCTGAACAAGAACAAGTTTACATTTGTAAAGGCCTTTCGCGTTGGGAGGATGACCCAAGGAGCTGGACAGTCAGGGGTTTGGACCCGAGCTGGGGATTGGGGTCAGGAGGGATGGAGGGCAGGAAACACTCACCTAAGGATAGGGTAGAGATTTCACCTGGATCTAGAGTTACTCTACTTCTTCGCATTTCAGAGGGTCCAGACTTTTGCAAATGTCTCAAATAGTCATGATTTTGAAACCGTTTTTCAATAAGTTCTTTTAAAGACTGCAGAAAAATGCCTTCCATGTTTAGACTGAATTCAACATTTTGCAAAATTCCGCAAACAACAATAACAATAACAAAATTACATCTATAGAGCGCCTTTCACATCGGGAGGACGTCCCAAGGTGCTGGACAGTCAGGGGTCAGGACCCAAGCGTGGGGGAGGGTGAGGTAGGAGTGAGGGAAGGCAGAGAGGTGGGAGGACGACTGAAGGCACGATCGAAGAGGAGAGTCTTGGGACCGGCCTTGAAGAAGGCAAGGGAGGAAGCGAGGCGAAGGGACTGTGGGATGGAGTTCCAGAGTGTGGGGGGGAGAGAGGCTGAAAGCCCGCCACCGATGGTAGTGTCGGTCGGGAGGGAGATGTGGAACAGGAGGGGAGCCTGATGAACAGAGGGAGGGGGCAGGTTGATAGGGAGTGAGCAGGTCAGAGAGGTAGGAGGGGGCAAGGCCATGGATGGCCTTGAAAGTGAGGATAAGGATCTTGAATTCGATCCTCTGAGGGATGGGGAGCCAGTGCAAACTATGAAATGTCAAGAAAATTAAGTAAATCTAATTGCAGCTGGAATATTTATAACTCATTGGGCATCAACTCCACCTTAAAAGCACAACTACCAAACCTGTGAAAGTTTCTACATTTTTCAACGGACCAACATTCTGGTGTGTGAGTTAGGAGCTCTGAGATGCTATCTGGTGTGGAGGGTGCTATGTAAATTCAAGTTGTTGTTGTTGTTGTTGAGTCAGATTGATAGCCTAATGCAAGTTGATGCTGAATTATGGGCAGATTTGTGCTGTAAATCTGTACTAACTAGGAAATGGATTAAGACTGTCCAAATATTATATTTTACAGGGAGTAGGGAAAGATCAGTCTGGGTAGGATTTCAGCCCACGCCCCACAATTGTAAGGACAATGTGCTAACCCACTGTGCCACTCAATTTCACCCCCTCCATTCCTAACATTTAAGTTGATCCAGCTGCTGTCTAGTTAGGCTTAAGCCACATCATGACTGCAACTTTCTGGACTAGATCTCATCATCACAGCTTTCACTGGAGCAGCTTCAAGCGCACCCAAATGGATCAGACTCGTGTGTTGCAATCGTTCCTGAAAGAGCCAGACTAAAGTGGTAAGTCACTCCTGGACCAGGGATTAAGTGAACAATTCGGACTCCAGCTTAGATTAACTGGGATGAATATCAGCTTTGAAGAAACAAACAGATTTAGATAGGAAGAGCCCTTCGGGTGATTATAACCTTCTGACAGATGAATGATGTAAAATAGGCAAATGGTACAATTCCATTTGTAAGTTCCATTTTCCATTTGGTACTTTTTGTTATCAAGTTAATCTGACAATGATTTATTGTGGGTACTTAAAATATGTAGCAGTTAAGTCATTTATCAGCAGCGGCCAATTGTGGCTATAGTAAAGAACACATGACTCATAGCAACAGCAGATTTGTCATCTTCAACTCTTCTAGTCCAGCATTCTTCATGACAAATGTATTCATACTGTACATTCAGTGGCACGATCCTAATGATACTTTGTTGTTAACACGTTTAGTTCAATACATGTAAGAGGAAACTTGATGCATATAGTGTATGGGGAAGAAGGGAATTGAGAGGTATGGAAGTGGGGAGTTGGAGGAGTGAAGATCCATGTGAAGTATAAACACCGGCACATCCTAGTTGAGTCATATAGCCTCTTTCCATGCTGTATCACTCTTTGATACAGCAATTCAAGATCCTCATCCTCACCTACAAGGTCATTCACGGCCTTGTACCCTCCTACCTCTCCGACCTACTATTCCCCTACTTACCCTGCTTACCTGCCCGTACCTTCCGTTCCTCTAGCTCCGGTCTGCTCCACATCCCCCGCCCTAACCGCCCTACCATCGGTGGCCAGGCTATCAGCCTCTCAGCCCCTGGACTCTGGAACTCCATCCCCCAGTGCCTTCGCCTTGCCTCCTCCCTTTCCTCCTTCAAGGCCGGTCTCAAGACCTTTCTCTTCAACCGTGCCTTCAACTCCCCTCTCGACTCTCTACCCCCTCCTCGCTCCCTCCCTTCCCTCCCCTCACCCTGACCAGTTCCCCCTGCTCGAGTCCTGACCCAACTGTCCAGCACCTTGGGACGTCCTCCCGACGTGAAAGGCGCTATAAATGCAATCTTGTTGTTGTTGTTTGTAATTCTGTGTATCTGAGCCATAGTGATCATTGT